CTTCCAGTTGCTATTATTATTACTGTTAGTATTATTATTATTGTATTATAATTTTTGTATTTCAGCAACACACAGCAACTGTGCTCTTAATAGCGTCTTTCTCTTCTTTCATCTCCTCAAACAACTTCTCAATATAATGCAACAGACACCAACATACCCATTCATTTTTCTTACGATCTGTCTGTGATGGAGTTGGGTTTTTGTTTGTGGCATTGCACCTACAGCCACTGCTTTTTCTCCTACCCCGAGATGGAAGGAAAATCACAGAACCACCAGTTTTAGATGCTTTTCACAAATGATAGAATCCTATACGAGCTGAGACGCCGCCTCGGTAATCAAGGTCTCCCCCAGGTCTTACTCTTAGTGGGCAACCAAGCTGGCCTGGTGGATGGTTATTGGAAGAAAAGGAAAAGCAGAAAGCAGAGAAAATGGAAAAAAAAAGAAGAAAACACCCCCTACGACTGGTAACGGAAAAAAGAAGCTTATAGACTTCAATATTCTTCAGGCAAATGTCTGTGGCTTGGACAAGAAGAAAACACAATTGGGAAAAATGTTGTATGAAAGGAAAGTCCACATTGCTCTATTACAGCAAACTCTCCATTCATCCTGTGACATAAACATCGCTGGGTATACGATACGTCTTTTCCATGTAAATTTGAAGATTTCCAAGGGATTATAACCTATTATATCAGAAATGACTTCCAGGGTGAAGTAGAGCTCCTTAATTGGCACCCCACAGACGCACATAAAGTTACCCTGTGGTATGACAACAGCAAGCTCATACTTTATAACATCTATTGTCCCCCAAGTAACACTCTGAACTTCATGGAACAGAGTACTATCTTTAAGAAGACGGTCATAGCTGGTGACCTCAATGGACTTTGGGGCTATGCTGACCAAAACAACACAGGTCAGAGGATTGAAGAACTATGTCAGTCCTCTAACCTCATCCTTCTTCAAGATGAGGATTCAAATTCAACCAAAACTCTTCTTCAAAGGAGACATGGGACCCTCCACAGACCAGATCGCACCCTGGTCTCTGCTGATTTACGCAACTACTGCAGTGAAGAGGTGCTAGACTGTATATCTAGTGACCATCGTCCCGTTCTCATCAAAATCTGTATACTGAAACACAGACAAAGGAAAAGAAGAACCCGTTGGAACTTCAAGAGGGCAAACTGGGATCTCTTCTGAAAAACAGCTGAGGACACCGTTAAACAGGATGATCTAGACAATAAAAGTACATGTATAGACGCCCTTAATACATATAGTGAACTCACCTCCACCATCTTAGATGCTGCAAAGAAGAGTATCCTACAGGGGTGCACAACCAACTATAAACTCTTTTGGAATGAGCGCTTGGAGAAAGCTACAAAAGCTAAAAATAGTAAAAAAAATTATGCCAGACATGAATATGAGAAAGGTCTAATAAATAGGGAGTGCTTATTTAGGCCACATATGGCCTAAATAAGGTAAGGGAGGGGGGGTTAGCTTATTTAGGCCTCATGTGGCCTAAATAAGGTAAGGGTGGGGGTTTTAGCTTATTTAGGCCACACATGCTCAAACTACCCTTTTCAGGCGACTGAGTTCGTTCCACTTTCATAATGGTGCACCTTTCTCATTTAGTACAGTTTTATCTCAGTGTACAACTTATAAATCATAATCACAATGAATATTGTAAGAACAAAGCACAATACGCAAAATTTTGCTCAATCCCAATGGTTTGAATGAGGTCCAGATTTTTCCTTCATGGAGGGGCAAAAGCTAGTCTACCATTTTGGCACACTTTGGTCAAGTGAAAAGGTCAAATCCTTCGAATGGACTTCCGGGTCAAATTTGGGGTATAAAAAGTGTGTACACAACGTGGCTGAGTCAAAGTTACACTATCTTTGCCTGGGTGGCACTCTCTCGTACTGTCTCGTAGTAGTACATGTAGTAGTAGCAAAGATCGTGTAGAAAATCTGTGGTAGTAGATTCTATCTACTAGGCAGTTTAGTGAACGTGCACATGGCAGGGCGAATCGGCCTCGATAAGCCCCGTAGGCTTTTGTGATCGGCCACGAAGCCTCGTGTTTTGATGGGTCTAGATCTAGATTCTAGATCTAAACAACTCAGTGTTAATCGCACTGCCACATCCGACAGGCTTAGATTCTAGATCTACATCTTTTTAAAAGGAAAAGAAAGATCATCAAAATGGTTGAATTCGCGTGAAAATCGATTCGGTAGAACTGGAACCATTAAAATTTGCTTCTGAAAATAAGGCAATTTTTATAACTCTATGAAATAAAAACTACTGGCTGTGTTATTCTGTGTAAATTATGAAACTTCAGGACGTATTATTATTTTTCAACGTCTTTTGACGCCTGAGCTGTAGAGGTTGAAGTTTTCACAACACTAATAATAGATCTAGTAATAGGGCTTTCCGTAAAAAATGCATAGATCTACAAAAGCCGAACCCCCGAACCGACCGGTCAGCGACCCGGGCACCCCGCTCTTCCCTGCACACTGATAACGTATTGCTTCGGTATCGCATTATATCAACTATTAATACGTGCGGATATGGCAATTGGGATGTACTGACTGACAAAACAATTCACCGTTTTGTTTTTATTTTACCATATATTTGACTTGAAGAGTGCAGGTGATAGCTAGATCTAGAATCAGTAGTAGCAGGCCTATGCTAGAAGCAGCCAGAGGGCCTACAACTGCTAGATCTAGATCTAACTTGACTTATTGCTATGCCTTTGGGCTTTGAAATTGAAATAAAATGAATTGCACAGTGCTAGTTAATTTTAGATTCAGCAAATAACTGTATTTCCAGAGTTAATAATAACAAATCCCACCATATCAATCACTTTTACTTTTATTAGAATAATTAGATCCAACTTTTTTTCTAAAATCTGTTTTGCGCAAAGATTTTCTCTACTTGTAGAGCACAGAATTTACATTTTAAGCCTCTGCTCAGTCTTTTAGTATGCATAATAAAATACATATATATAGATCTATATAACCATTTTATGTTATTTTCTGGATATTTTTAAAACTCTTTTTTTAACAAGTCATAAAATCAAATTGTGCCATTTTCTTTGATAAGAATAGCATTAGCAGTGGACTTTCTAGACAGCGAGTCTCTGATTCAATATAAAAAATAAAAATGCTAATCAATGAAAATTGCAAATTGATAATAATAGTATAGTCCTGTAGAGGATAGGTGGACTCCGGGGTCTGCATAGCGAAATACTAGGTTTTAAGATGTGAACCCTGGAGTCACCGTAGTGAAATAAGGTTTGGTTTAAGTAAGGATTGGTGGACCCCGGGGTCAACGTAGTGATAAATAAGCAGGTTTAAGGTGGACCCCGGGGCCCAGGGTCTACCTAGGCAAATACTAGGTTTTAGAACAGGTGGACCCCGGGGTCACCGCAGTGAAATAAGTAGGTTTCTTTAAAGACTGGTGGACCCCGGAGTCACCATAGCCATAGAGGATTAAGAAGGTTTAATAAAGGATTGGTGGACCCCCGGGACACCTTGATTAAACCTACTTATTTTACTACGGTGCCCGCAGGATCCACCTATTCTAAAACCTATCTAGTGTTTCGTTAGGTAGACCCAGGGGTCCACCTTAAACCTACCTATTTCACTACGTTGACTCCAGGGTCCATCAATCCTATCCTTAAAATTAAACCTAGATCTACATGTACTTATTTCACTACATTGACCCCAGGGTCCACCAATCCTTAATTAAACCTAGATCTACTGATTTCACTACATTGACCCCGAGGTCCACCAATCCTTGATTAAACCTATATCTACTTATAATTTCACTACTTTGACCACGGGCTCCGCCAGTCCTATTATAAAATAAACTGAGATCTACTTATTTCACTATGTTGACCCCGGGGTCCACGGATCCTTAGTTTAACCTAGATCTACTTATTTCACTACGCTGACTCCGGGGTTCACATCCTAAAACCTAGCATTTTGTTAGGTAGACCCCGGGGTCCACCTATCCTTTTGGCTAGATAGACCCCGTAGTCCGCCTATCCACTTTCTTGATAATAACTGAAAACAACACATGCCAGTTGTCATGAATAGTGAAGAAAAATGAGGGGAAAAAATATAATTAGGTAGACTTTAATTTGTCAAAAAAATTGCAAGTGCAAGTGAAGATCATAAAATAATTTTGTTATTTTCTGGTCACCTTTCCAAGGACCTTAAATTGATTCTACATCACATGTCATGTACAATACGGCTGTGAAGGAAAATGGATGTGAAGAGTTTTAAAGAG